GATCTTGCAGAAGACAAAGGTTCAATTTATTGAATGAAACTACATAGATTTACATTACTACAAAGGCCATTCATTAAATACAGAAATAAAGAGAGGGGGAGGGGGAGGGGTTTGGTGGGCAATAGGGAGAGGGGAAAGGGCTGGTAGGCAATGATGGAGGGGGGGGGGAAGAGGTTCTAGGCAATGAGGGAGGGGATGAGGGGGTTATAGGCAATGAGGGAGGGGTGCCAGGCAATAAGAGAGAGGGAGAGGGAGTGCTGCAATGAGGGAGAGGGGGAGTGGTGTGCAGTGGGAGGGAGTGAGAGAGAGGGAGAGGGGGAATGGGAGGGGGAGTGAGAGAATGGGAGAGGGAGTGAGGGAATGGAGGAGGGAGGGAGTGATGGGGAGAGGGGGAGGGGTAAGGAGTGATGGAGGGGGGAGCTCCCCTAGGCTCGTCATTGCTTGTGTCCGTTCAGGCGGTCGTTTTCGTTGGCGGGCGGTCACCTTCGTTTGTGGGGGGGTTGTAAATGTTCGTGGGTGGGTCGCCCTCGTCTCGTTGGTGGGCGCTCATGGACGTTCGCGTGGGTGGTCGTGGTCGTTGGTGGGAGCTCGTGGTCATTGGTGGGCGCTTGTGGTCGTTGGTGGGCGCTTGTGGTCGTTGGTGGGCGCTCGCGGTTGTTGGTGGTCGTCCGTGGGCGTTCATCTTCGTCCGTGGTCCGCCACCCACACCTTCATCCATCGTCGTCTTCATTTTTAGGGCAGTCGTCGTGGTCCGCCAGGCGAAACAAAGACGACGAACGACGACCAATGTCGTCGTTTGTCGTCCGGTTGCCACGTCGCAGCTAGCGACGTGGCACCTCATTGGTGTCAGAAGGGAAAAAGCTGGGGTGGTGACTGCTTACCAGGCTGGGTATGGCACAACCTCGTCACCGTCGTCCTCGCCTGCTGTCGATCTCCTTCGATGTCGTGTGTTCGCTGGGGGTTGGTGACGTGGCGCTGCCGCGTCGTTCTTGTGGTGCCGGGGTGGTTGTAGTTGTTCCGTGACGACGTTGTGTGTCGTCGTGCGCCGTCAGCATCCTTGTTGCGTTGTGGTGGGTGTGCCATGGGCGTGTGCGTCGACTTTCGTGGGTGCTGGTCGTCAATTTTCGTGGGTGGTGGCCACTTGTGTGTTGTTTGTTGGGCGGTCGTTGTCGGTTTGGGCGGCCAGGGTTCTTTGCAGTGGTGGGTTGCGTGACCTGGCATGACGGCGACGTGGTGGTGAGGTGGAGTCGTTGGCATTGACGGAGTGGTGGTGAAGTTGTGGGTTGAAGAGAAAAGGAACGTCACAGAGTCCCAACGGATGAACAACATCACAGAGTCACACTCTGTGACATTGTTCATTTGTAGACGTAGACGTTGAAGTTCAAGATCACGCTCTGATCACGCTCACTAAGATTCTGAGACTACAAAAGTTTGTAGTCTCAAAAAGCTGGTATTACAAAATTTTATAATGAAAAAATTGAACAGTACAAGCTTTTGTAATGAAAAAAGAGGAGACTACAATTTTTGTAGTCTCAAAAAGCTGGTACTACAAACTTTGTAATGATAAAAGAAGATAATACAATTTTTTGTAGTTTTTGTAGTCCCAAAGAGTGAACTACAAAATTTTGGTAGTCCCGAAAAGTAGACACTACAAATTTTTCTCTGTCCAAAGAGCAGACGGTTTAATACTCTGGGTTCGTTCTTCAGGAAACAGTTGCGAGAAACTAATGACAAAAAGAATGACACAATGGTTTAACGTTGATGGTCGGAAGCTGTTCCACGATGCAGATACAGGCAAGATGATCCCTAGAATGCTGAATACATTCATTGTACATTTCATTTGGGACAAGGGGATCACAGAGCTCGCGCAACGAGAGTTTCATCACCCACCCGAGAACATGCGGATTGTCAATGGTGTCTAATGTATAATAGCCGCAGTCGATCCGTAATTTCAGTTCGGAAACTGAGTTGTCACCAGGAACACAAGAAGATTCCTTCCTGTGAACTTGGCATTGGTCATGGCGCCCAATTTATTGTGTTGTAGTTCGAAGCTAATCGAACCTGTTCCCGGCGGCGGCCTAGTAATCCTTAACAGTACCCCTCCTGCAATTTGAACCCTGGAAGCGGCAATTTTATGAAATACTTTCATGTAATATACATAACTGTGGGGACGGATTTCTCATTAGGTACAAATCTCTGTCATGAATACAAAGTTACTTAATAGACTACAAATTTAATCAGAAACAGTGCGTGAACTTGAGCTTGAACGTTTGAACGTCGATGTATACCACAAGGTCACACGTTGTGACTTGTGATGTCACTTCTCCTTACTCACCATCGCCTCCTCGTCGCCCACAACCAACATGGCCACAATGCGACATGACCACAACAACAATGGACGACAATGACGATTTCGTCGTTGTCATTACCTGGTGAGCACACACACCCATCTCCCCCCTCTTTCGTTTCTGACAACAATGCCAGGTGCCACGTCGCAACAGCGACATGACAACGAAACGATGAACGACGAAATGTTCATCGTTCGTCGTTTTGCCCGTCCTTCATCCCGAACCAACAACAACTGTGCCATGTCAGCACGTTAGGACGACCACGTCAAAACGACCATGACCGCCCAAAACGATAACAACAAGCTACACCAACCGGGGAATGACGACAAGCGCCCACGCAAAATGACGTCCGGCGCACGCCACCACCGCCCACAGAAACGACAGCGCCCACGGAAACGATGACCGCCGCCCACGGGAACAACGACCACCGCCCATGAGAACGACAACCAGTGTGCGCCGACGAAAACGACGACTGTGCACCCCACGTCCCCAGGGCCACGACGCAGACTGATGAGGGACGACGACGA